ACATACATACATAAACACGCACGCACGCACATATACATATACACACATACGTGTAGACATATGTAAAATCACACACACACACACAGACACACACACACACATATATATATTTATATGAGCTTTATTAATTCATCCGTCCATTCAAAATTCGTGCATGTTGCCGAACAAACCAGTTTTGTGGGACAGTGTTCGGACTCTCCAACACTGGCTTCGCAATCCTTTGTCTCTCTTACTCTTCTTACAGCTGGTAATTCCAGGTTGTGGGGGTGGGGGGTCAAGAATTTTTCTTCGAGATATGGAGACACAAATTCACTCACACATTACACACACGCACACAAGAATACACACACGCACACACATTTACTCTAAAGTTAGCACATGCACCAACACATTTTGAGGACCGACATTGGTCCTCATGTAGTCATTATGTAAGGAAGAGACAAATTTAATGTTACTGATATTGCAGATGAACGCAGTATCGTGCATTCATTTGAGGAAAAAAAAAATATGCGAATAAAGACAAAACAAAACGATATGCGAATAAAAAAAACAAAACTTTCAACTCATTTAACTTTAAAGCTCAAAATCTACTGGAGGCTGGACTCTCGGGAACACCTGGCAATAATAAAAAGCTGCAAGTCATGCTGACTGTGGCATATGACGCCAGCTGCAGCATCGGCAACAAGCATTCCAAGTCCCGAAGTCATTTGGAATGCTGACCACGCTTGTTTCAGTCCGTGCTCAGTGAGTCTCCATCTCTCTCTTTATATATATATATATATATATATATATATATATATATATATATATATATAATATTATATATATCTCTCTCATTCTCTTTCACTCGCTCTAACTCTCTCTCTCTCTCATTCTCTTGTCCTCCCCCTCACTCTCTCTCTCTATCTCTCGCTCATTCTCCCGCCTCCCCCCCCTCTCTCCCTTCTTCTGTCTATCTAACCTATCTATCAACCTACTTATCTATCTATCTCTCATCCTATCTATCTATCTATTTCTCTCCCTTCCTCTCTCTTTCTCTCTCTCTCTGTCCGCTAGGGTGCTTGTGTGTGTGTGTGCGCTCGTGTGAGTGTAATCTGATATGTGTGCTTGTGTGTGTAAATATACGTCTACCTTCGGATGTGAACGTGTCTGCGTGCGCACAAGCGGAGAGAGGGAGGAGAGAGAGAGAGTGAGAGAGAGAGAGAGAGAGAGAGAGAGAGAGAGAGAGAGAGAGAGAGAGAGAGAGAGAGAGAGAGAGAGAGAGAGAGAGAGAGAGAGAGAAAGAAGAAAAGAAAGAAAGAAAGAGACAGAGAGAGTGAGAGGTCCCCTCCTCTCTCCAAACAAACACACATTAACATTATTACACATTTCTTTCCTATCTCTATTCACGTGCTGAACATGTACTACGAAACAAGCAGGTTCGGCAGCATAGATGACTATAGATCTTTACAATTAGCTTGTTGATGCTGCAGGTGGCGTGGGTCATAGTCAGCATGACTTGCAGCTTTTTCTTATTGCCAAGTGTGCACAGCCGCCGAATGTCTGAGACTTTGTGTTCATTTTTTTTTTTTACTGTATTTTTTTTTCTTTTCTTCTTAGGTTTCTGAGACTTTTCCTATTTTGTTTTTATTGATATTCTGATTATTGATATTATTATGCTTCTTCTTTCTTTTCTTCTTCCTTCTCCTTCCCCTCTTCTTCTACTTCTTTTTCTTTGTCTTCGTTTTCTTTCTTCTTCCTTCCCATCTCTTTTTTCTGTAACTTTCTCCCCCTCTTTCGCTGTCTTGGTGACTGTCCAATCGACTTTTTGCTGCTCTCTGTCTCTCTCTCTTTCTCTCCATTGATGTGGCTGCCTAATTGCCTGCCTGCATGTTCGCTTTCCCTTCGCTCTCTCTTACTGCCTGAACATCTTTCGTTCCTCATACCCTCTCTATGAAAATATAGGAAATTCCAGGACAATAGTACTTAAGCCATAGGCACGATGTGAAACATAAAAAACAAGTGGGACTATTTCACAAATAAAGTCTACTATCCGAACGAACCTAAATGGGCAAAGCTAGCGCAGTATATATGGGGCGCTGGAGAGACGGCTGTGCATGTAGAGATGCGGAATGCAGAAAGAGCCTGATTTATGTAAACAGAAGACGAAAATACATGTGTGTATTTCAGACAATTATGTGAAGAGTGGAGTTTCCCATCCTTAGAGTTGAACCGAAAAGTGGAATTTTCCTTTTAAGCAATATGGAAAGCTACCAGTAGAAGTGAAATAAACGAAAACCTGTAAATGCTCTTGGATCCTCTTCAACCCTGACGTAACCTTCATGCCAAGTGAGTGGTCTTCACCTCTGACCTGTGGTCTATGTCTTCTTTTTTTAGGGGAAGGCGGTGTTAAATAACCCGACAGGTCCAAGGCACCTTACCGAGAAACTGCATTTACGTCACAGGTGAGTGGCGGGTGTTCCCCGGGAAGAATACGGGAGTCTTAGGGAGAGAGGTTCAG